AACTAAGTGAACAGAGCCACAGGACGTGCACTGTGAGCATGCAACCCTGGGAAACCCCAGACTATGGAACTCTATAGCCCACAGGGCCTCAGTTCTTCAACAGGTAACTTGTAAGAAAAAGAAAGAGGTAGAGAGGGAAACTACTGAATAAAGGAAATTTTAAAGACATTAAGCTTAAAAAAATAGGCAAGATTAAACAACAACATTTGGGAATGAACACTTGAGTGATTAAAACATAAAGACATTCACGCGATTTCTATGAAAACCACGGCCCTGGTTGGTTCTGGAGGGAAGGAGGGGTGGTGTTTGAATCAAGACACAAGGAAGGGATTCTGGGGTGAATGGCAAAATTGTAAATCTTAATCTGGGTTGAAGTTAAGAAGGAAGTTATCCTTCTAATACCTCATTATGCCACACCTTGGTTTTTGTGTGGTTTTGCGTGTTTTTTCTATAAAACAGTTTTAAAATAATAAAAAGGCAGTAAAATAGTTCTAAAATAATAAAAAGGGCAGAAGATAATGAGCACCTGCTGAGTCAGACGCCTGTGGCTGTTTAGATGGAGCTGTCCACTCGGCTGCTGGACTAGAGTCTAGAGCTTAAGAGGAAGATGTTTCAGAAGATATGGGGCAATAATACACCTGCTCAGTGAAGCCTGGGGGAGGCATGGAAAGAAGAGAATGCCAAGGACACAGTCTTGGGAGGGGAACATAGGGTCTTAAGGGGGGGGCCAAAGAAGAGAAACGTTCAAAGGAACTCAAAAGGTGGAAAGAAAAGCAGGAGTGTGTGATGTCACAGACCTGAGGGGCATGGCAACTGGTGCAGCCAAGGCGTCAGGTGGCACAAGGGCAGGCTTAGTGATCAAGCCACACAGAGGCAGCCTGTGACCCTCACAAGAGCAGTGCCCAGTGGGGTTGTCAGTCACTCCATGGTGGGCTGTGGGGAAGCCGAGTCAGGAAGTACAGACAACTCCTCATCTGTCTGGTCAGGAAGGGAAGCAGGGGAATGTGGCATCCAGGGAGGTTTATTTCAAAATAGTTTTGTGAGCACACATATAAGGCTTATAAAAAGCTGGGAAACTTCTCATCTGATAGCCTCTATTTTCCTAATGAAGACAGAAATAAAAATTATTTGCTATAAAGTCAAGGGAGTGGTGGCAAAGTATGAGAGTGAAGAGAGGGGTGAACAGCTGATATGCTGATGAGGGCAGAGCCAGAGCCCCGGGGAAATGGGGAGAGAGGTGCCGGGGCCCACTGAGGAGGTCCTGGCAGCCCGAGGCTCAGCAGAGCCTGGATGCTGTGACGGGTTGTGGCACAGTCCCTATGGTAGAGAGGGTCCCTACGTCAGCACTCTGCAACTTTCATGTATGCCTGGAGAAGACAAATGGCCAAACAACTCGGATTAGGGTTTTGCAGAGCAACAGGAGGACAAGGAATCGGAGCAGGAAGGAGACTCAAAGTCTTTGTCCTGAATATGGAGGCCCAGAAAAGGAAGAGAAAAGGAGGAAAAGGGCAAGATCAAAAGTTTCCTCCGGCTTCCAGGGAAAGGTCGGCCCTGAGTGAAGTTGTGACATATATGAAGCTTACCTTTGGCATTTTCCACTATCCTACCAAGAGAGTAAACAATCCAAGGGCACTGGATGCGCCAGATACTTACTACGGGATGGGGGATACTTACTACTACTCTTATGCCTTGGGGCTCAAAAAGACAATTCTTTAAAGCAAAATGCAGGTGGGAATGTAGACATCTTTCTGTGATACTCTCAGAAAAAAATGAAGGTGTTTTCTCTTGGCTTGCTGAATTCGATTTTACACTTCTATGGTGAAAGATAAATTATAATCAAGCATGATTAATTACTTTAAATAATGGAGAGCCTCTGGGCTGATAGGTATAGCTGTGGTAATTAACATTTCAAAAACTAATCAGCAGATTTCTAAGTTACATGGATACAGAATGACATTTTCTTAAAGCAAAATCGGGTTATACGGACTGGAGACAGAGAAAGGTAGAGCTCACTGTGTGCCCTGCAGTATGCCAAGTGTATATATGAGAATTACTTTAATCGTTATAACTCTATATTATAATCATTGCCATTTTACAGATATGGAAGTTGAGGCACAGAGAGATTAAGTAAGTTGGCCAAGAACACACACCCAGTAAACAGGGCAACAGTATTTGAACCCTGGGAGTCTGATGTTGAAGCCCATGTATTAATACAGAACAGGAATTGTAAAATGCATAAATTATTATGGATCCCTATACTGTACTGAATACTCTGTAAAATACTATGTCAAAAAACTTATGTCCTCCACAGTCTGTAAATGTGGTCTGTGAAGGTGGCCTTATTTGGAAATATGGTCTCCACAGATGTATGCAAATTAAAACATGACCAAATAAATAAATAAATAAAACAAGGCCATATCCTGATCCAGTAGAGAGAAATTTGAACAGAGACATTGACACAGAACACACACCAGGTGTGTGATGAGTGTGAGCCAAAGACTGCAACCACCAACAACCAGCCAAGAGGCAAGGAGATACTTCCCTCGAGTTTTTGGAGAAATCTTTAATAAGCCTCATTAATTCAAACAATGACATTTATAAGACAGTAAAATTGCTACCTGTTTGGGGGTTACCAAGTGTTTTGATTCTCTGTGTTTTATATTTTCTCAAATCTAATGCTTTTCTACATAACTGTGGTGGTGTTCTCTTTGGAAGTTACTCTTTTAACTAAAGTATGTTTTGCAGGAAAATTTTTAGCCAATTGATGATGATTAAGAAAATCATGTAATAGATACTGCCACTGTGTTTGTAATAATTAGGAAGCACAAGGGTAAAATTTTTATGAAAGGTTTTCAAATTATGAAAGTGCTTCCCCACAAGAGACAATAAATGGGATTACTTCCATACATCCAGGTGCCGGGTTTTTTTCTTTTTATGTGTGAGATGCAGCCTAACTCTGCTCCGTTATTTATTTATTCAAATCTAAAGAATGTTCCAAAAGTTTACACGAAAACACATACTTTGAGATGAGACACTTTTCCTTAAAGAAACTTTGCCATTTTTAGTAACAGCCAGCACCTGCTACAGGCTCCAGGTGAGATACCACACACACTTTGCCAGATTTAGTTTTCATATTTATACAACAAAGTAGGTATTAAAGGCCCACCATCTCTCCGCTTAAGCCCTGGGGCTAGGACTGTTTGAGATTTCAGCAGCTGCTTATTTTAGAAAGATTGTAAGATCCATAAAGCATACATTACAAAATACCTCTATAGTGGTCCACAGCAGCTCTCAACTACCAAGCTGATGAATATTTGCCCATCAAAACATATTAATTTTCTGACCAAGAGGGATGAATGAGGTCTCTACATAGCTCATGTTAGCTCAGGTAAGAATCTGTTGCCAAATGAGTTCTGGTCAGGTTAAGTTTTTTAAAAACTGGCCCTATGGGATTCACCTAGGTCTCTATGTTCCACCCCACTGCCTTACACAGCTATTTCATCTCGTAACTATAAAGCACAGAAGTGACAGCGCACCTCAAAAGCAGAGGCTGCGTGGCAGGACTCTCCTGGGTGAAAGACTTCTGCAAGTTTCAGCTCCAGGCACTTCCCAAGGCAAGGGAGTACCTGAGCCAGCACCTGAGGCAGTCACACAGGGAGGCCTGCTGGCCCTGGGGCTCAGAGAGAGGCGAGGCAGGGTGGGGCCTGGGTATGTGGAAAGAGAAGACAGAAGATCACATTCTGAAGACAAGAGCGAACTTGGGCTTTGGAGAAAATGTGGTGAGAGTGGGAGGCAGGGCTGTCAGGAACAGGAGGGGTCTACACATACAAGCAGGGAAGGGCCAGTGTGGACTGGCTAGAACTGGGGTACACTGGAGGAAGGGGGACTGGTTTCCTTCACAAATGAACACGGGGAGAGGAAAGCAATGGGGCAAGCAGCTGGGCCTGCCTCTCCCTTCCAGCCTGCTCCCCCTTCTCCCAACACGGGAAGGGAGTGAGCACTCGGGGAGGCCCTGTTCGGGGCCAGGCTTCACGGCAGCACCTCACCTTGACCTCGCCAGGCCTGACAATCCCCCAAGATTTGCAAATGGACAAAAGACGGATTCAATCCCAGATCTGAACTACTCTGACATCCACGTTCTTTATAAGGACTAGAAATGGGTGGGTAGGCTGGGCCCAGCAGAAGGAAATCCAGGAACTGTGAGTCAAGACCCACACCAGGCACTGTGGCCGTGAGGGAAATAAGGATTCCGGAGGGAAAATTTCTATCAGCCATGAGAAATTTCTGCAGCTGGGAGATGAGACACAGACACAAACCAGACTGTAGAGACAGACTGTGTTTGTTTTATTTCTTGTTTTTGAATTTTAAAATAATTTATTTTATAGGTCAGTTTTTTTTTTTTTTTTTTTGAGACAGAGCCTCAAGCTATCCCCCCTGGGTAGAGTGCCATGGCATCACACTCACAGCAACCTCCAACTCCTGGGCTCAAGCGAGTCTCCTGCCTCAGCCTCCCAAGTAGCTGGGACTACAGGCGCCCGCCACAACGCCTGGCCATTTTTTGGTTGCAGCCATCATTGTTGTTTGGCGGCCCGGGCGGGGGATTCGAACCTGCCACCTTAGGTGTATGTGGCTGGCGCCTTAGCCGCTTGAGCCACAGGCACCGAACCCATAGGTCAGTTTTAATTTCATGTCTCAGAGTATACATTATTTAGTCAAAAGGTAACGAACAGAGATTATAAAAAGAAAGGATACACCGAGGATAATAAACCAGCTCAATTCCAGCAGAATTTGATCCTACTTTGTAGTCTTACTAGGATAAATTTCTATCATCTACCTTTTGTGCTTACAAAAAGCATTAACTTCTGAATTTCCAATGTTGTAAATAAAAATTTTTATAATTAAGTAGAGGCAGCTTTTTAAGATAACCTAAGTCAACTAGAACATGAATGAGCCATATAAATTCAGTTGCAATTTGAGAAAAACCCGTCATGTATACTTACTTCCCAAAGTTCATAGAGCTCCTTTCTGAGGTCTTCTGGTAGGAGCTGGGTTATCTGCTTCATAGCTTTCTGAAACATCAAGCCATTATTTTAATTATATTCACACTTATCTAAGTTAATAACTAGATTATGAAAACCAAATAATGGGCTCGAATTCTTCTAAGTAACTCCTAAAGGGGCAGGAGAATAAATTGGCCTATATTGGATAGTATACTATCCAATAAATACTATTGGATAGTATTTATAGTTGTCTTACGAGGAAGACAACTGTGAACATTTAAATAAGTACATTCATTCACATGGGCTTCACTTAGCGTTTATTTTGTGGTCTATAACACACGAGACATGAAAGAGAGCAGGAAGGTGTGAAACAATTATAGAAATACCAGGAGTGAGCTCACAGATTTATATCTTGCAGACTTACATACCTACCTAAATGTCAATCATAAGCACACCAGAGTTCTCCTTCATCTTATTTTTTTTACTAGAGATGGGACTTCCCTGTATTGCCCAGGCTGCTGGTCTCAAACTCCCAGCTTAAGCAATCCTCCCACCCCAGCCTTCTGAATAGCTTGGTTATAGGCAGGAGATACCATGCCCAGTGGTACCAGGGCTCAAAACAAACCAACACCAAAGCCCAGACTCCAGCACTATACAGTATACACACATAACAGAATTCAAGTTGTACTCATTAAATCTATTAAAAAAAAACTTTTAAAAAACGAAATTAAATTAAAAACAAGAAGAAAAACCAAAACTAAGAGTGAAAAGAATGGGACAATAACAGTTAATTACAAAACTCAAAGAAAGTTTCTGTAAAGTAGTATATGCATTTTTTTATTGCTACGATGTTTTTATTGCAAAATGTAAAGCATTACACAAATGGGCAATTATTGTCATTAACATAAAGGAAGTTACATAATACAATTTTGTAGGCTCATATACTCACAGGCTGAAAAATTATATTAAAGGGCAATTAATCCAACTATCCACTTAGCATCTGAACCCTTTACAATGGTTCTCAACCTTCCTCATGCCGTGACCCTTTACTACAGTTCATCATGTTGTGGTGACCCCCAACCATAAAATTATTTTCATTGCTACTTCGTAACTATAATTTTGCTACTGTTATGAATCGTCATGTAAATACGTAAATTTTATGGTTAGGGGTCACCACAATGTGAGGAACTGTATTAAAGGGTCATGGCATTAGGAAGGTTGAGAACCACTGCTTTAGAAGCTTCGTAGAACACTTCTGTCTTCTCTCCACAAACATGTCCAGTGGTAGAGAACCTAGCACCTAAGAGGCTGGCCACACAGGCTTTAGGCAGTGTTGACAGCTAGTATTTCTTATATAAAGAAGAAAGTTGTCCCTGTCGTCTGTAGTTCTTCCACCATGCCTAACTTCATCTCTCCTGATTTCCTCTCTCACCTACAAACACAAGGGCAAATGGGTGGACAGTGACCCTGCTGAACTATATATGGACTATCTGTGGCCACAGCAACAGATCCAAGACATAGACTAATAGTTCAAACCAGGCCAATAGTTCAAACCAGGCCAGTGGGGACATCTGCATGATTTGTTCAGCAAAGGGTAGGAGAGAGAAGCCATACACCTATCACCAGAAGAAGCCTAAGGCTTAGCCAAAACCCAAAAAAGAGCAGAGATCAAAGAATAGAAAAGCAAAGGGTGTTCTGTATTTACTTCTACTTTCAGAAGTCCCAGGAGCTACCCTTATCTCCATCTCTTCTTTCATTCCAGAGGTGTTCAAGTATCCTTCTAAAAATATTATGTTTTGGGGGTAAATTTACTCTTCTTTTAAAAAATTTTTTTGTGCAGATGAGGTCTCAGTATGTTGCTCAAGCTGTTCTTGAACTCCTGGCCTCAAGTGATGAGGCCTCCCTCTTTCGCCTCCCAAAGTGCTAAAGTTACAGACGTGACCACCATGCCTCGCCCAGGAACAACTTACTCTTGGGATGACTTCAAATTCCCTCAGCATCCTCATTTTGTACCTTTGAATTTGTCTCACTTCTAACCACAGAGGTTAGGCTCCTGGGGAAGAACATGGTTATAAAAGCCATTTGGGGCAATATAAAGGTCTTATATAAAATTGTATGCTGTCAAAAGCAATGAAAATAAAACAGCCAAGTATATGTATATTTACTTATTACTGGGAGAAGAAAAAGTGTTGCAGGATATGACCACTTCCAGAGCAAACCACATTTCCCAGCATCAACGATCCCTTCTCGTCAAGTAGCACCACCATCTCAGACGGCTTGTCATTCAGGGTACAGCACCTATCACTTTCAGAAGCAGGAAATTTAGTGTATTTTGTACCTGTATTCTCCCTTGTTTCTTTTATGTAAGTTTCAGCAAATATACTTGTGAAAATACTTGCATTTTCACCAATCAAGGGTATCTTTATAAAAAAGATTGCTTTTGTCTACATTAGCCCAGAAGTGAAAGTTTGCCCATCCCTTTTGACTGAAAAGAATGAAGTGATGTACATACAGATATATCAAATCTTTTAGAATACAAACATGAAAGTCCTGCTTTGATAAGAGACTATATTATTCCTTTCTTATTTTTTAAAATTTTATTCCTGGCTCGGCGCCTATAGCTCAACTGGCTAAGGCGCTAGCCACGTACACCCAAGGTGGCGGGTTCAAATCCCTAGCCCGGACCCACCAAACAACAATGACGGCTGCAACCAAAAAATAGCCGGGCATTGTGGCGGGCGCCTGTGGTCCCAGCTACTTGGGAGGCAGAGGCAGGAGACTCGCTTGAGCTCAGGAGCTGGAGGTTGCTGTGAGCTGTAATGCCACAGCACTCTGCCCAGGGGGACAGCTTGAGGCTCTGTCTCAAAAAAAAAAAAAAAAATTTTATTCCTTTAAAGCAGTGATTTTCAACTGGTGCTATGAGGATCTTAGGAGTGCCCCCCAAATTTTTAAAGATCATTAATTAAATTATTTTCAAACCAAGCTCAAAGCACAGTATTTTCTTTCTCTCTTTTTTTTTTGATCAACATAAATTAAGTGTGCTGTGGAAGTTTAACTGTAGGTTCAAGTTCAAGTAGGTTCAAGTGTGCCTTAAGATAAAAAAGACTGAAAACCACTGTTCTAAAGCCTTGCTGACCTAGTAGTCAGCTAGCCTGGGGCAAATGTGCCCTAAGATAAAAAAGATTGAAAACCACTGTCCTAAAGCCTTGCTGACCTAGTAGTCAGCTAGCCTGGGGCAAAAGATGCTTCCTGGTTCTCATTATGTAAGTTCTACTTAAAGCCAAAAAACTCCCCATTTAATTAGCTTAATGCATGGTTCAGATATCCAAATCTTATTCATAAACACCATCTGCATAAAGAATTGTTCAGCTCCCAGATTTTCTTCTCAGTTCCCAAATCCTGACCAGCAGCAGAAAGATATGATGGCAATCAGCTCTCTCCAAAAGGTTTTGGTTTCTTCTCCAAGAACTTAAAATGACTTAAGATGCTTCCCTGGTGGCTTCTGCTTATGACATTTATTCCCCTGTGAATCAGCGTGAGAGGGCAGCAACCAGGAGGTCAATGAGGCTGGAAAGGATCTTCATCATAACTGGGTACGGCATCCAGGAAGACAGCAGGGCCCTCTCTGATGGTTCAAGCCCTTTGGGCCCCTCCATGGGGCATCACTAGCCAAGAATCAGCTCATGTCAGGACTCTTGTAGGTTTTCCTTACTTCCAGTGAGTGGGGATCGTTCACACTGACCCTGGTGCTTCTCCAGAAGGTTCTGACTTGCTTCTCTGTGGGGTAAACCTCAAATTCACTGTGTCTTCCAGAGGGATAGTCTGCCTTTCTTCTTCCTGTCTCATTTCTCCACACCTTTTCCTCAATGTTAAGGTCTCTGATGACCTGAAGGTACTTTAATGTGTGATCTTTCCTCCATAACATTCACATTTTCCACTGAACAACTCCCACACCTTGCAGTGAGTTATGTAATTGAAGAGTTTATTCCCTCATTTTCCTTTGTATTGTACTTCGTTATTGACTATCCTTTGGTTTGGGTACTGATTCCTTTCTGCAATTCAGAATCTTGAGCTAACTGGTATCTTTTTGTATTAATTCTACTAATCAACCAAAGAATTCTTTATTCGTGGCAGTATAGATTCATAGAGAGAAACATTTCCTTCCCCTTCTGTTAGGATGGCTGGCCTATATTTTGGATCTGTACTTTTGCAAGAACACACTCCTTAGATTATTCCCCTGGCACCCATATTTCTGGGTAAGTTAGAAAACCTACATTAGGACTCTCATTTCTGTAGCTCTTCTTGCCTCTGAAGGGGCAAAAGTCCTATTGGCTATAAGCTCTACTCTCCCTCAGCTCTCAGCCCACTGGACATGTTGAATAATCTCAATATAGCAACTTGGGATCAAACTCTCAAGCCTATGATAAAAGCAACTTGCAAGAACCTTTACACTGGGAACCAGCTATTCACACTATTAAAAAAAAAATAAAAAAGATTTTTTTTTTTCCAGTCTCTGCTTCACACGTCTTCCTCTTTAGCCCTAGGCTCTGAGTTTAGAGACCAAATTGATATTGATTTCATATTTTATTGGTATTATTCATTTCTTACTAATATAGATATTTTTTATTTACTTGGTTTGTTATTTTCAATTACCAAGTTCAGGGGTTAACTTAAAATTTACTAAGTTTCTTTTATAATAATTATTATACTTGTGATTTGCAGAACTTCCCTCCAAAGAGCTTAGCTAGCATGGAGAATTCCCACAAATTCACTTAAGTCCCAGCTTATTTCTATCATCCTAATGAACACCATGCTATCTGTACACATAAACTAACAGAACTGGAAGCTATCAATATAATTTTCTGTTCCTATGTTAAACTCCTATTCTTGTGTTAAACAAGGTTGAGAACAGGAAAAACCAATTTGCCCCTTACTCCAGGAAATCTCTGCTTCTACAAGATAAGATTATAAACCACCTAAAACAGAGTAAACACAACAGCTTACTCTTTGAGATTCGTTAAGGGCTTCCCTCATCCTCTCCACCAATCCAAAGCTATTATGTCCTAAACTCTTGTGCAATCCCAGCTAATTTCCTACCTTGTGAGATCCATCTCAATCTTCTCCAGCTCAGGCCCTAAAACTCTAATGACATCCTTCCCAACCTCCCCCTTCCTGAGATACTACTAAGACTATCAAGGTGGTACTCTCCCATACTATAGTAAGTCTAGTAAATTTAGCACGGTTTCAGCAACAGGTTTTTCTGGCAGCTCTCTGCAGCATCAATAGTCAACACTGACCTCTTCTCGCCTATGTTTTTCTTCTTTGGGGATGTTATCTGCTGGTGCTATGTCCCCCACGATGCATTCTGCCATATCGTGAACCAAGGCTAGGCGCACACATCTGACCAGGCAAGAAATGTTGAATAATTACACAGAATGATATGAACCTATATTACTACACGTTCCTTTCTATACTATTTTGAAGTTACATAATATGTTTTTCCCTCTCTGCCCTCAGAGTGTTTTAATGCACTATTTTCTAAAGGGATTATATTCTACTAGCCTACAGCAGTTCTGAATCACAACTGCTAGTTAATATTCAACACAGTTCATCACAGTGCGGGGAAAGGGTTAGCATTAACTTTTTTTTAGAAAGCTAGTTTCTCAAATCTCACCTTAAAAGGATGATAACTTCAGATTATGAAGCCAGGAGACGATCTGGTTACAGCATTTACTTACTGATACAATTCAGAAACATTCATCTTACCCAGTTTTCTAGTTAGATGCCAAAATGAGGCCACTTTAGAGTAATGGGTACGGGGGGAAGATCTGAGTTTGAATCCAGCAACCAGCACTCAGTAGCTGAATGACCTTTGTCCAGTTATTTAATGTCTTTAAATGCTCAATTTTGTTACCCTTGATTTTGTCCTCTATAAAAAATACTACCTCAAGAGGTTGGTATGAAAATTTGGTTTGATAATTCATGTTTATGGCACATGTTGATCATGCAACAAAATAGTTATGATTATTAGTGATTAATGATTGTGATCATTATTATCAAAATAATAAAGTCACATAATGAGATGAATGCACCAGAGGGCCAGCCTGGTTTAGGTTCCCACTATCATAAAGGCAGTACAAGGCCAAACAGCCCCCTCTTAGATTTTTCTGCCTCCAGTCTCTTTCTGGTCCAGTTCAAATTTCTGACAAGTCTTAATTTCATCTCTACTGAGCTTCATTTTCATCTTGTACTATTTGCCAAAAATATCCTCAGTTCCATCCCATCTGCTGAGTAACAGAATTTCTCAGATTCCTAATGAACCCTTTGCTATAATCAAATGGATTTACTTCTATTTCTAAGATACTCCTTTACCTTCCCACTGTCAGGGCTCTGGTCTCTCTGCCTTTCTCTCTATGTGCAGTGCCTCTCCTACCTCTCTACCTCTGTCATCTCCCTTTAAAGCTCAACTCAGACTCGGACTCCTCCTCTATTAAGATCAAGCATAAACCAGTGATCTCTCCTACTATTAGAAAACTTTGCTAATTTCTGACCATAACTAATTTGGTGCTTCTTACTGAAGCTATTTTGGGCCTGTGCAGTTCATTTGGAATGTATTTACCTTTGTCCTGTGCTCAAAAAGCATCTTAAAAACTTGTTAAATTTATAGCAACTGAACACAATCAACACAGAGCTCCCCTTCTCACATCCTGAATCTGTATGATTTGTCTCAAATAACATCTCTTGACTAATACACTAACCTGCAAGAATTTGATGGGCTCATGCTTACAGTTCATCTTATAAGGGTACATGTGAATCTTTCTAAATGAAGAATATAAATGTCTTAACACAATAACTAAGAAAATGACATGAAGCTATGTTAACCAGTTTGATGAAAATATTTCAAATTGTATATAAAAATAGCACACTGTAGCCCATGAAAGTATTAATGTACACAGCTATTATTCAATAAAAAAGAATTTGACACAGGCCTCAGCCATGAAAAGTGGTGCACACGAGAATCCCTCACACACAATGAAATTCAAATCAGCTTACCGGTCTTTGTTTAGATGGTCATCTTTGATCACCATGGCCATAACTGCCATCCTATACATGTGATCTGACACGCTCTCTGGCCGCTCAACATTTCTGTATACCCAGCCAGTCCGTGGGACTCTCTGATAAATAATAAGAAGAAAAAGATGTTTTAAAATTGTATTTCAATTGTTCGCTATGACCTTCAAGAGATATCCAGGGAAAAGCACATAGAAGCAGGGTCCTGGTTTCAGAACCGATTAAAAAATGCTCTAGTAAACCAACTAAAATGATCAACACGAAATGGTCAAATAAATTATAGAGTTCAGAGAATTAAATGGGAAGGGGAAGAAAGAAGAGAGGAGCTCACAAGTATAGAACTAAAGTCCAACAGTCTAAGTTACTCTGCGTTAGTGGAGCATGATCATGGCACACAGAGAGGTCCTATAGATTTTAAAAAGAAAATCAAAATCGCAGAGCTATCCCCCTCCCCAGCTCCTTATGCAAAAGCAAGGCTTCAGGTACCTATGAAGAACTTACCTTACTGAATTTCACTAAGGAAATTCCTTGCTAACGTCCCATAAGCAAGGACAAGCAAATTATAACTATGTCTAGCATCTAACACTAAAGCCTGTTCCACTAATAAGGAAGTAAGAGTTCATCTTTTTTCACAGGTAACAGAACTGGAGACTCGCAGGATCAGATATTCTTTCACCTACCCAGGGACAGCTACTTATTAAATAACTGATGCTTCACTCCCTCTTTCTCCCCTTATGTAAAATGTAGATTTCCCGAGCTTCAATTATTGTAACCATTTCCATTTTGCCCCATTTACTGCCCCACCACTTTTCTTCCTCTCAGTCTTTATTTTTATGTCATTAAATCGTAACTGTGTACATTAATACATTCACCAGGTACAATGCGCTGATTTTATATACAATTTGGATATACACCAAACTGGTTAACATGGCCTCCATCTCACTTATTTGTTATGTACTTTCCCTTCGAAAAGCAGCCGCAGGTCTGCCATTGGTTCGTGTTTTCGCGGTGAGGTCCCACCTAAATTTGCCTCAATTAACCTCCCTGGATTGAGATTGTTAAAAACTAAGACATTTGTTTGGGTCAACAAGACATAACAAAACTGCATTTTTCCAACTACAAGAGTTGGCCTTTTTGCTTTCCAATAGTTCCATCCTACACAAGAAGCGACGCTGTGATGAAGGCTCTAAGCCCCCCAAAGTGACAGGCTCCCCAATTCTGAAGATGAAGGCTGAGAAAGGCATTTCTAACCGCCGGAAGCTACCCTCCGTCGTGACTTCCTTTTATTCAGATCGTCTGATTTTGTGAAACTGCATTTTTCTGCTCAGAACTCTACAGCCCTGAAGAATTTTATAAATACTAGTCAGGCTGGCTTCAAACAATCTGCTTTGAAGCTGGAGAAATTCCGGAAAATCTAACTGAAAATAGCAGCGCCCGGGGAAGACGCACAAGATGCAGCTTCGGTGTCTTACACGCGTAAGCCTCGTTTCTGGAGGTAATCGCGACAGTTACGACGCGCCACCTAAAATCTGCAGGGCCTCGGAAGCACCCCCCGCACACACACAGACCGAGGGGTCAGGAGCCCGTGAAGCGCTCGGGGCACCGGGGCACGTGGGGCGCACCGGGCCGGGGCGC